CAATGGTAAATCATGATGGTGTCTCAAATTCCCACTATCGTTATCTGTTCCCTCACATTTTACGTCGTTCTCGCATTTGTATGAATTTTAGGAAGGTTTAACATTTTGTGAAAATTCTACGAAAATTCTACTTATCCCTAGATTTCCACACAGAACGGGACTCGACGACATATAAAACTGACCCTTGATATGGTTAGGGTCGGTCTTATTATTCCGTGAGGTTTAAGTAGTGAGTGGCCTACGCAACACTTGTTATTTCCAAACCAAGTATCTAAATAAACATGGGAAACGACGACAGAAGGAAGGAAGAGCAGCTGAGTTGACAATGCATTTAATTGGAGCTTTTCATGGAGTGCTATTCTTTCTAAATTAATAAAAACATGGAAAATCTTTATTAAATAAGAATGAAACAGCACAAAATACTTGAGATTTAGTTAACATTTTAATCACATTAAATCCATGTCCTCATAACGAAACTAACTACTGACTCATGGTGATATAATAATTGCTAAACAAATTATTCGGGGTTTATTAGGCAGACTAATGTGTAAATACATATACCGGTTTAGACATGCAGTCAAGCAAGACCTTCACATTTTGAAAAGGTGGAGTTTCCAGGAAGCAATTATTTTCTACTAACGTCGTGTATTTTTAGTACATTTGATGCTGCGATATTCGTCGAAATGATTAGTCAAAGAACGTTGCATGTTTGCATATGTACATACATTCCATTTACTTGCAAACCGCATCCAACATAACCGCGTACTGTATGCATACGTCGTTATGTCTCTTGTCAAATTCTTCACGGCAACTCCCACCCAACTCCATTATTTTTTGTTACATAGGTGTAAAAATATTTTGTGCCAAACCCTAAACGATTCAACCACTGCAAAGGAGCTCGACCGACCTCCCACCGTGGGCACTACAGCACTGTGGACGTATAAAAGTTAATTTAAAATGGCCTATGATGCAAGAGAAAGAATATGCTTTTAACTTTTCAGGAAGATATCCACGTCCACAATAAGCACACAAGTGGTTGAGAGATGCAATTCGTTTTGTACATTACATGACACGGCACAAATGGACCATAAGTGGTTTCTGTGAATGAAGCCACTTTACCACACATACACGGACGTACACGGACACACATAGTATTACATGAAGTTGTTGCTGGTACATAAATCTCGGTGTGGCTCGTCTTTATAGAACGTGTTTCTAAAGTCTCAATTGCACATGCGATTTTATCCATCAACTTTCAGTCTTGATTAATCAAGATGAATTAATATGGCAGTGGAAATTGAATTTGCGCTAGATAGAATTTATGAAAATTGCGTTTTATAAGAATTATTAGTATGTAAAGATACTCGTCATGTTAACAAGTAGGCACAACATCAGCATATGTAAGTGTACATTAAACATATAGCTACATGATAGGCACGCATAAATAAGCATTTATGCATATCTAATCAGCAAGTCAGTCCGCAAGTTTTACTATTTTTAGCCAGCAATCTATTGTCTCATTTAGCAAATATAGATTTAGCTTTAAAAATGTCAAACATCAGTGAAAAGAGCAAACATTTTATCCCGCATGAAATGGATCCTCAGTTAGCTCTGTTCAGGTGGGGGGTCCCCTTGTCGGAAACTTAACACCAGAACTCGGCTAAAAAATACAATGAGCATGGTGACATAACCAACAATAATTCTTTGCCAACTAGCCCAGTCACAGTCGGTATTTAGCTACCTACATATGTACGCATTACCTCCTATCGTCCTGTACAACCCAAATGCACTACGGCATGAGGAGGCAATATGAAGGTGCACAAAAGTCAGATTTTGGAGAGATGAGTGGGCTAGGAAGAATGATGATGATAACAAAGGTGACGTGCCTTTCTAGAGTGGCCACAGGGGATGAAGGATCTAATAGTACGTGGGCTGGACGATGTGGAGCCCTTGAGGCTGCACCAACTGAGATTATTTCATTTCTGTCAAACTACACTTTTGACTGGGATGTGGTAGATAGTACGTCGTACATATGCATACGCAGCACATGAATATTTCGTGTAGGTAGGCAGGCAATAAGGAAAAAAGGCCCAAGTACCAGAGGAGACGAGTTCAGAAATGACGATGAGACGACGACTCAAGTGCTCATCCTCTCATTCTCCTCAATGAATGCTCAAGTGGACACTTGATTAAAATGTGTTGTGCTCCTGCTGCCCACGGCCTCCTTCTCGGACGGGTGGCCGTCCATCCAATTTTGGACGACCAAGCAGGGATGATGATGAAAGTGGAATTGCAATCTAAGGAATAAACACGAGCAATTACCATAAAATCCTTAAAGATCAAAGATAGCCATGTATGTAGTTCGTTCCCCATCATCATCATCATCACGACAATGGTGTGCGGCGTGGCATCACGTCAAGTTCCCTATCGCGGTTTGCAGGACGGGGTGGCCCGTCCTCCCCGGTGGTGCAAATAAATACCCTGTCCGGGCTTTATTGCACGGAAGTGGGGAGATCGAACCGAGAATCTCTCTCGTCGACTTAATACATGGGGTGGGATCCCTCAGGCGAAAATAATTAACCAGCGCACCACCGACCAGTGCACAGTCCAACAGTTATTATACAGAGATTGACTATATTTGTATCCGTTACACAATTCACACGGTTTTAGAAAACATGTCATTCTTTTTGTATTGGATGATCCTCGTAAGTAGTTGATTTTAATCTCAACATGTTCCTACGTCTGCAATTTGGTCGTGAATGATGGGATGAATGCAACTAGTATTTAGAACTACAAATCAACTCTTTTTGTGACCGTTTAACGTGAAATAATTATTTACTGGAGCATGCTTAAGTCGTACATTTGTCCATCATGCAGTTGGGAGGTCGGAAGGACAGCATTGGGGATGAACATTATTAAATAAGTCTCTCAAGAGCTCTCTGATTAGTGCGTATTAGGAATTTCCCACGAATATTTCTCCCCGTTTCCTAACTTTTCACCCAAGCCACAAGAATCACGGGAGGAATTTTGAGTGAAATATGAGCACTGATAATGTACATATTTATAAAAAATCTGTTAGGATTCGCATGCTGCTTAACGATATTGTTTTTGTTTGAACTGTGAGTTAAAGTAGTTTGCTCTTCATTTCTTTGTTGGCCGTGAGTTATATGCCACTTACTTTATGCTTTTACAAAGTACACACTGTTTAACTGGCTGCCTCCTCCTCTTCTGTTGATTGTTGACTGTATCTATATACCCAAGTAAGTGAGTTAAGTTACAAAAGAGGCATTTGATGAAAGACGAATCAAATTATTTCTCAAAAGAGAGCAAATATTTACAACTGAGAGAAGACATTAGAAGTTCAACAGGCAACAGGCGTTTTTTGCAAATATTGAAAGTGCAAATTTACCCAGAGATTTCCTTCAGTCAACACAAAGCTCTACGATGCTGCTGCTGATCAAGCCCAGAGTCAAGCAAGCCCCAGAGTGGGTGTTGCAAGTATAGTTTATTCAGTGAGAATAAGATCTGTTATACTATCACGCCGTGCCATGCTAACGTTTATAATGCTTTTGCAATGCTCTTGTGCCTACAAGTGAAATGGGATGGCTGGAGTACATACAAGCCGTCCGTGGGGGCACGTTTCTCAAAATCTTGCTCTTTAAATGTTAACAGACTCCATATTTGCAGTAATTTTGATTTTACATTTCGAGTTCTTTCTCTTTTGCAAACTATTTATAACATTCATGCAACACAGTTCCCTTAAAAACCACACATTTAACTTCATCATTACTTGAAATTAGTCATCTTCAAGTAAATAGCTTTGGTGCCTTCGCTTTCTTTCGCAGCAACAAAAAAAGAAGCTGAAACTTGAGTTTAATATTTCCTTTGCTCTGAAAAATACTTCCGCTCTTAATACTGCATATTGTTGCTGCAATATCCACTTTCTTTACACTTTTCTCCGAGATTCTATGGGTGATGAAAATAGTCTCCTTCTCGGTGTACTATTACTTACATCCATGTACTTACTACACACCATTTCCCAATCCTTTCCCCCCTTGTCTAATGTTAATAGTACATGGCGACCTGGCTTCCCTCACAGGAAAACTTTCTCCCCGACTTTCGACTTTTCAGGGAATGAGCTTATATATTGCGTGTGTTTTATTTATTCGGAAAGAGACGATTATCCATGTTTCTCTGAGAAATATTATGTGCTTTATCCAGACTTTACCTTTACTTATTGACATTGAATACACAGAAAAGAGTGCCGAGTGGTGTTGAGGTGGGTACATATTCATGAAATAAAGCTGAGACAAAAGTGATCAAATATGTAAGACAGCAAGCTTTCTTTGAAATTATAGAGTAGTGAGCTGCTTTCTGAAATAAAATTCATGAAAGGATGAAACGCTTGAAATATTTGTTCCATGCAAATATTTATTGCTCTCCATTGCAAATACTGAATTAAGTCGACTAATAAAGCCAGGCAAATATTGATAAGTAACAACAGTTTCAAATTTTAATTACTGCATTAGAAACGTGTAATTAAATATTCCAGAAATGTTGTAGAAATTGTCAGAGCATACAACATATATATGGATAAAGATATGTTGTAATAGTACGATCATGATGATCTATGGCTGTAATGCATAAAGTGACATGAAATACTATCGAAAAAGAGTGGAGAAACTGATGGTAAAATATAATCAGCGACTTGGAGCTATTTCACCTCCACTTCCATCTGTCAGCACTGAGCACAATCCATTATGCATTTCACGGAGAAAACCAACTCTTCACAAACTCGTTTGTATTGTAACCCAAGGATAATGAGATGCTAGTCACTTTTAACTGACTCTAAATTCATCAACCAGTAGAATATAATTATTTTGTAAATGGAGATCATTTCGCAGGGTTATTCCATTTTGAGGGAAGTGAAAGTGAAAATAAATTGCTTTCTCCAATTCAACAATTAATGCGGTGATTCTTACGGTGCCCCAGAGACGAGGGCAGTTTAAACGCTTTTGTGTATTTACATTCTTTACTTAACTGGGAGGTTGTTTTAATTTAATTAAGCATTTAAAGTTAAGCTCAACTTGGGCGTGTGCGTATTAATGAATTGCGTATCCATAAACATCATTTGATTGCTTATTAACAGCGTGGAATTTGTCCTTGAAAGTATTGATAAACCGCCATCCGCCATCACATTCACATAATTTCATTGAATGTTAATAAATTATTAAGGTTTACTCATCAAATATATTGGGGAAAATAGTTACTTTGATTTTGTTGGGGAGTGCTGACGGGAATGTGTGCCATTATCATCCTAAGGCACAGTGATGTCAGTTAACGTTAACGGAACGCTGGGAGCAACAGGGATGACGAGCTTTAGCGGGGAAAGTGGACAACAGTCCCCTGTCCAAGGTCAGCAACAGCAACAACAAGACCAAGGACGACGACAACGACTTAAAGAGCTTGTGCGTCCCATCTTTCAAGAGTCATACTTTACGGCAGAGTAGTGAGTTTTAATTTTAATTTGTACCAAACGAATCAATGTGTGTAATTTTTACAATTTAAATGACCCATCACGACACTCTTGCATTTATAGTTGTCTGTTGGGAGCAATACAAATTAATCAGCCTAACAAATTAAGTGGTCTATACGCCATTCCGTCAGCCCAGTCCCCATTTCGTAAGCGATACTTATTGTCTATGCTAATCAATTATTAGTGCATATTTTACATTCTAATTTGTAATTTAGTGTGGCTGTGTGTACTGTTTGTTCATAATGGACCTTGGCAGGGAGGAGTATTTAGGTTTGTATTAAAATTTCCAGACAGTTTTCCGGATGCCAGCAGTCAGAACAATCTTCCTGTAAGGAATTTATGAACTCTTTTTAGTGGTAGTTTTAATATTTTACTGGTACACTGGGTGACCCCAAACTTACACTTATGTTTACAGGTAGTTCAGTTCACAGGATCTTATCCTAAATGTCATCCATTAATCAATCCCTCACGGGGAACCTTCGACATAAAACGCTACTATAAAACGTACAATCGCTCCAGTCACCACATTTGGCAACTGTTGAAATGTACGAGGAAAATCTTTTACAAGTTGGAAATTATAGACAAAATTCTATACCCAAACAAAACAGCGGCCGAATTGTATCTCCAATCCGAGGAACAATTCCTTAGAAAGTGCGACCAAGATGTACAAAACAGTAAATCTAAAGTGTATGATGAGGATATGTACTCTAAGGACCCTAATTATATTCGATTTTCTAGAGATTATGCTAGAATTGATAATGTAAATGGTAGTAGTGAAGATAACACGCTAAGTTCAGGCATTGGATTGTCCTTCATGTCAACTCATTCATCATTATTTGATTTATGAACCCACCTCCTTACTTGTCCCACCTTATACCTTTAATACTTAAAGAGTATTCAAATGTGCCAATTTAAATATGTACTACGTAAAAATTTTAAACTAACTATAAATCGAGTTATGTGTAGTGTAACTAACAATATAATTAATTAAGACCTTCAAGTCTTGGTTTTAACTTTATTACAGAAGGGAATGAATATATTGAACAATTCAAATTTTAATCATTGAATGTTTTAACTGATATTAACTAACATTTAATATAAGTATGGATTTAATGATGTGGAATTATTAAAATAATATTTCAAAGAATTTTTTAAACACCGGAAATTTAAGCGACCTGTGATGTATTTCAATAAACGAATGGAAATTAAAACTTGTTCATTCCTTGGAAGCCCCAGTTCTATTTACATCTGCCACTGACGACGCCAGATTTGCAGAAGTTTCTTGTTGATTTGACAATTGCTTTTCCGTCTCGTTGTCAAGCATCTCACACAGCTTTTCGTACCTTGACTCCACCTCTTCCTTTGGAATTGGAAACTGTTCATCAACGGCGTCAAGGTCAAAGCCCGGCATCTTCCTGAACAGTATGGCATTTGCTTCCGGATCGACAATGGTCGTCAATGTTGTCAGATGTTCTCCAAATTTTACTAAAAACAATGAATAAAGAAAACATTTTCATTCCTGCGCCAAGTAATATAGTAAAACTTGTAAACTAACTGCTGAGCTCAGAAACTTTATCCAACATGGAGTCTGCCTCTTTCATGTTGGCCTTTAGAATTCCGATCATGGTCTTGTAGTCTAATCCTTGAAAACGTGATGTTTCGGAAGATTCGGCCTGATTGGTCATTTCAGATCCTTCAGCGTTCATCAAATCGTAGTTGTTCGATGCTGCCATGTTAATGCAGAAAAAGCTGCAAAAATGGGAACAAGAAATTAGGGAATGAAAAATTGAGGAATCGATTAAAGATAAGCTGGGAACTGACAAGAAATATCTATATTTATCTGCAAAACACAAAATCTTACATATTAATTTAAATGGTCTGCTCAAAGTGACTTTGGTTAAAAATTAAAATAATTGAACTCAATCTAACAATTTTAACTGGATACTACTGATACTAGCGACTAAAGAGGTGGGAAAATCCCCTACACCTAGCAGAAGAAGAGGTCAAAGCAAAATTCTCTCAAATTCATAGCATGATTTTGTCATGCTCAAAGTCGGCATTATTTATTTCAACGCCCCGTAGCAAAGCGCGGTGCGGCCAAATGTGCATGTTCTGAGTTGATTGAACAACGTGCTCATCGTTTGATTGACAATTAAAATTTTAGCTTGTGATTTGTCAATTTGTAACTTTTACAAACTTGATTTGGTGCTAATTTACAAATGAGTCTTCTCTAAAGATGAGGAACTTGGTAATAACGCGACGTTATAAAACATCGGACAATGCAATTAAACAGGGATTCAATAAATCCTGCTGTTTTATATTGGATAAAAACGGCCAGCTTTTGATCTACGATTGGACCAATTCGAAATTATTACAATGCTCGAATTTAAATTCTTTAGCTTTAGAAGATAAAGCAGAAATTGATCCTGTGGTTCGTGACATTGTAGTCATATTAAAATATGCTTAAAATTCATCAATAACAAATAACAAACGATTTTCAGGATATTACCCAAATTCAGTATGTGCCGGAAATGGACTTTATTTTCCTGGCAGGAACGGACGGTACCTTCTTTCAGACTAGAGATCCAGTCTTTCGTGAAGGGAATGTAAGTGAACCGTAGTATTTATGATTGTGAAGTGACGTTTTGATATGCATACGAAAAGTGGAATTAAGAATTAATTGGTCAATCTTCCAATTCCAACAGTACACAGAATTGTTCAAGTGCGAACAAGGAATTGAAAGATTTGCGGTGTCACCGGATTGTCGACGGGTGTGCATTTTAACAAAACAACGAACCTTGCTGGTGCTCACACTACCTGAATTAGAATGTCTTGTCGTCCACTCACTATCAACGGTGGAAGAGGATATTGCAAGCTACACGGGGTCGACAGTTTGGCGCAATGATAGTCGATATTTTGCTGTAAATGTGCCAGATTTTACAGGTAATTAATTGTGACCTTCGTGAATATAGTATAACATATTTCGTTAAAATATGGCCCAATATTCTGTTCAAGGTTCAGTTTTGTTGGTAAACTGAGACCCTCGAAAATTATTGGAAAATTAATTTCTGTTCTATATCCTCTCGCTAATTGCAATGTATAATTTTCTGGGGTGGAAACGTTCAGTACATTATTCTTAATATATATGTATTATACTCGTTTATCTTATGTATCAATTTTTTGTGCAGATAAAGGCTCTCCAAAGCGTCAAATTCATGTGTACGATGAGGATGGGATCTTGTATTCCAAGTCACAACTAGATGAGTTTGAAATTCTAAATGATTTACTTGCATGGCAGCCTTCTGGAGGTCTTTTGGCTGTTTTTGGGAAATCTCCACATGGAAATGCAATAATATTCCTGGAGCTGAACGGACTGAAAAGATCTCATTTACAATTGGGACATACCAAACCTATTGAAAACGTATCATGGAACTCTGCATCAGATATTCTGTGCTTGCAAACTAGCTCAGAAGTAGAACTGTGGACTCGTAGCAATTACGTGTGGATGCTAAAAAAGACATTTAGTAATTCTTCTTGTCAAACTGTTCGCTATTGCAGTTGGGACGCAGAGCTTTCGTTCAGGTTCGTATGATAAATCCATCCGTATACATATGTATATCTGCAGCCCAATATCCTGTTCAAGGTTCAGTTTTGTTGGTAAACTGAGATCCTCGAAAATTGTTGGGAAATTAATTTGTACTATATCCTCTCGCTAATTGCAATGTATAATTTTCTGGGGTGGAAATGTTCAAAACATTTAGTTAGGCTTTTAATTCTCAAATTATTAGATTATTAGCTACTTTGTGAATTATTATTAAACTTTTAAATTGCATTGTAGGTTTCAAATAGTATACGATACTGCTTGCGAGATTTACGACTTGGCCTTTTCCTATACTTCTGGCTTTTCGGCCGGATCCGCAATGACCGTATCATGGAATGGTGTTCAAATTTATTGTACGCCATTCAGAGATAACTCAGCTCCACCTCCTTATGGATTTCTACAGGTATTTCATTTGTTCTTATTCCTTCTTTGAATTGATGTTGAATGAGGGTATGGTTGTAGTAGTGATAATCTGATTTATAATGCACTATAGGCAAATGTGGACTCGTCTATCGTAGAGGTTCTGGTCACTGAATTCTGGGATGGATTTCTCTGCATTACGTTGAAAGGCATTGTTTTATTTCGACGCGAAGATTTGGCCTTGACAATTGTTGATCAGATATCTTTTCCTCATACCTTTTTGTCAAGTGAAGTTGATGGATGGATTTGGCCGAATTTTAATACACTCTGTTGTTCGTGTAACGGGATTCTTCAAACAACCTATCTCAATTTTAAATTAGGCACAGAAGAAAATTCTTCGAATGACAATAGGACCTGTGCTGATACGCAATTTGTTGATGAAGATCAAGTTAATAATGTTCATTCTTTGAGGCTCTTCCCTCTTATCGCGGACATTCAAAAAATTGGAACTAATGAAATTTTAATAGAGACGCGCAACAATTTCCTTATACAATTCAATCTCCAGTCAAAAGTAGTTAAAACTGTTTTATCTACTCGGGATTTTTCTCTTTCCAATTGTACAATCCACACGATGAAACTTGAAGACAAAATCATTATATTTCTTCACAACCCTACTACGCGACAGCTTTTTATATCATCATCTGAACATTATAGCTCGGAGCCTTTGAAAATCTCTGGAGATTGTGCTTCGATTTATGTATTTGGTGACAGCGTTGCATTGACTACTTTGACAAGTTTAGAAATCTTTAACAAGTTCCTTGTGCTAGAGGTTTTACAGCATCTTGCTGATGGGAATGACCTGGATGCTATGAAACTATTAGTAGAAAAGAAATTTACTAGGAAAGTAGAGAAGGGTTCAGTTATCGTGACCTGTTGTGTTAACCGCATGTTAGAACCATCGCTCATATTGCAAATTTTACCCAGAGGCAATGTTGAAACTATTTGTCCGAGACCGCTTTTAATTTCAACTATTAGATCTACGCTGCGAAATGAAACTAACGAAGCAAGATACGAAAAAATCATGAATGCAGTAAGAAGACATCGGCTAGATTACAAGGTACTAATTGACGAGATGCGAGTAATTGAGAATGAGAACCCTGCAGCAAGTTTGAAGCACTCTTTAAAAACTATGGTGGATCAAGTCAAGGATTCGCATAGTTTGGTTCTTTTGGTGACTGACCTAGATGAAGAACATGAGGATTGCATCACAATTATTAAAGATTTGCTAGAACCCCATCTTCAGAAAGCATCTGTTCGAAAATTGAATATTGAAGAAGCGTATTTGGCGTCTTTGGCAAAACTTGGATTGTTGGAAGAAGCTTTGCTCTCACACTTAATTCAAGGCGAAGACAAAGATCAGAGGAATGTAGTCACACACCGCGTCAAGTTTTTAAGGTATTTATGCACAACTTATCCAAAAATTGTATTCTAGGTATTGAGCCCTGGCTCATAGAATCGTTACGTCCGTTTAACATACAGGTTTCGAAATAGAGTACGCGATGAGAAAAATTACTGGCTTGGACTATGTCAAGTTCGCGCTGTAGGTTGTTTAAGAAACTGAAGAAATAATTGGGTGTATATTTTTGCATATTTCAGTTATTATTGTAACAACCAGGATATTTTATTTGACACGTCTCTGGGAACGTATGACCTGGGCTTGGCTTCGTTGGTTGCGGACTGTCTAGGAAAGGATCCAAAAGAATATGTGCCAATCCTGGAAGAACTGAACCAATTTCCTGATTTCAAACGAAAATTCAAAATTGACGACAAACTTAGACGATACTCAAAGGCAATAACAAATTTAATACGCGATCAATCGACACATAATCCGGAAGTTTTAAAATACATGGAGAGACATCGTCTGTTTACCGACGCAATTTCTTGCATAGAGGAATTGTTAGCCACTTCCAGTATTGAAGAAAGCAAACAAGAAGACTGTCCAGAAAGTCATAGGAATCGAGACCAACTGAAGACTCTGTTATGTGAAAGCAAATTGTCATACGGACGTTATTTAGAAGAGCACACAAAATTCAGAGAAGCAATGATTCTGTACCGAGAAGGAAATCAATTAGACCAAGCTATTGAATGCGGAATCAAGTGTGGCCAATGGGAAATTGCTCTGGACATATTTCATTCTCGTACATTTACCAAACCTGATTTAAAGGCATTGTGCGAACACATTTTGGATGATTTAGAAGACCGCAAGGTAAAGCGGAATTATGATTGTCTTTTGCAGTTAATAGATACAACCAACTTTATACATATGTATGTGTATAATATTGCAATACAATATAATTTGTCTGATTTTGTATATAGAACTACTCTGGGGCAGCTAGAGTTTGTGAGGTGTACCTCAAAGACATTTCTAGAGCTGTTGGATATTGGATTCGTGCCCACAAGTGGGTTCGAGCAAGATCATTGTCACATCTCTTAGACAAAACTGAAGAAGACATGGTATTACCAAAATTGATGGAGGCAGGCTCGGAGAGGTTGGAACATCTTGCGACTTTAACTCAAGAAGTATCACAACATTTCCGGCGATGGCAGGTGGTTAAGGAGAATAAAGCCAAGAGGGAACTGGAGGGAGGGGTCGACGATTTTGACAACTTTTCCGACACAGATAGCATGACATCTTATACTTCAACCAGATCTGGGAGCTCAGCATCTGGGTAAATCATTTTGCAACGTTTTTTACAATAATAATTTTGCAACAATAATGGGGAATGTTATCTTAAAATTTCTTGGTTGAAATTATGTTGTTTGTACAGGAAATCTCATAGAACTGCGAAAAGTAAAAGAAAACACGAAAAAAAACTTTATTCCATGAAGGAAGGGTCAGTGCACGAAGATTTGGGAATTGTCGCGCATCTTTGGACAACTTTCGATAAAATTCAACAAGAGCTTAAACCAGACACATCCGAGCTGATAACCTCTTTGTGGGAGTTTAATGAGAACAAGCTCGCTAAAGAATTGGGACTCGTATTTGATCAACTTCTCATAGAATCTGATACGGCCATTAAGAAAATATGGGCTTTTGTACTTCCTGACGAGCTGATAGGTGCGTATATTTTACATTATCATTTAAAATGCCATCGAATATCAACTACTAATAAGAATAACTTTTTCTATATGACAGAAATGAAATACCGTATTCCACCCATTGGTTGGTGTACAACTTGGGACAAGCTGTGCCTTCACGATCCATCATCCAAAGCGATGAAACAATAATAATTTTCTATAAAACCATTAGAGATGACCGTTTCTACATTTGTTTTTATATGACTGTGATATATTATTATTAGTTTTATTTACTTTCGTTAATAAAGGAACAACACAAATTCGCAAACCAATAATAACAGTTTTATTTATCATGAGTAAAGTAATTTATAATATAATTCTATAAACTTAACACTATACTTCTTAAAATTTGCATAGAATTTCTATGAAAAATGTAATTAGGGAAAGTTATTGATTTCTGTTGAACGGGGTAACATGCGTGGCACGAAGTTTAATTTATTTCAGTTCAAGCAAGAAAATCGGGTTTTCTTCACATAACACAAATTTTATTTTTCCTTGCAATTTTGAACTTATCATCCGTGTCGTTTTTTGGCATTGGTGGATAGCATCTCACCTTTGGAGATGTTATCTCGGAGCAGCTTTATAAAATTGCTGGACGTTGTTATAATCAGTCCAGCTTTCAATCAGAATGTCCTACCGGCTGCCGGATTTGCTGTACGGTTTCGATATAACGAGAAAAATTACATGGTTCCAAAGCCAGGATCTGGATATTTCCGAAGGAAAGTACATTACCCGGAGGAATACACCCTGAAACCCATTCCATACACTAATTTAGCTGGTCGTGACCCTGTTACTGGTAAGACTTTGTTTTATCAAATATTTTCATGTACTATACTTATTAACTAGCAGTATCAAGGGAAATAATTTCCAAAAATTTGAATGTTTCAGGTCGCGTGGTGGTAGGAACATTGGGTGGAGGAATTAAACATCCGTTATTATGGGTGGACTATACACGCAGTGTCCCAGAAGGATCGACTACCCTCACGGAAAAGGTAATTAACATGATAATTAATCAAAAGAAAGCGACCATATTTGCATAAAAATATGTGATAATTTGTCATATTTCATTTTAGGTGCTGGAAGTTTTTCCTGAGCCAACACGAACTGCACATGTTGCTCTTGTTGGAGCTAATAATGCCTGTCGATACATTATAGCAACTGAAAACATGAAATCTGGGGATTTGATTACGACATCGAATGAACTGTCAAAAATTGCAGGTTAGTGATTTTCTAGGCTTCCCTGGGTTAACATATTTATACTGCAACTGGTCTCATGCAATTCATTTAATGTACAAATTTAGTAAGGCCAAAGGAAGGAGACGCTTACCCTGTGGGGTCCCTATCTATTAACACCGTAGTTTGCTGTGTGGAAGCATACCCTGGCAGTGGGGGTATTTTCGCACGAGCTGCTGGAAGTTCCTGTACTATTCTTAGGAAAATTGGACAAAGAGTTATAATTGTAAATGGAACGAAGAAAAAGCGAGAGTTCTCTATAGAGCAAACATGTATGGCAGTTGTTGGTAAGCAGTAGTAATTCTTACAATTCGTAAGATTCGTACATTATTGTAATGAATTTTGTGCTTAATTGCAATATTTTATGACAGGGCGTGTATCAAACAAAGAACATGGTTCAACCCCAATTGGAAGTCCTAATAATTTAAGAGCACTGGGATATCGACCTCGGTCGGGATTGTGGCAGCGAAAGACTGGGAAACATGGGAGAAAAATCCGTCGACCTCCTCCCACGAAGGAAATGATGCATCCAAGCCTACTTCCTAAAAAAGCTGAAAGACTTCATTTAACTTCAGAAAAGTTCCCATACCATTGGACGTAGGGTAGGGGTTTTAGTTTTTATATTTAGTAAACTTTTGTAAATTGATATTATTTATTAAGTGAGATAAAATATATTACATAGTAATACTGTTTTTCCTGTGCTATTATTATTGATTCATTGAATGGAACACATTGAACAAATATTCGTCTGTACTTATTAATTTACATAAATACATAAGAAGTGAAACCCAATCGCACAATAAGTTAAATTCAATGTCACACTTAAATGTCTTTCATTAGCTTGATTTTTGTTGGGATCGTTGCAGCAATGATTCTGTTCTTTCATCTAAATTTAGACACGTCACGTACTATACATAAGAGCAACTTTGTAATTCGGACTCGGACAGAAATAGATTTGCTCGCAACTTACGTTTAAAAAGTTAGCTACATAACTTCATAACTCGTGAGTCTTAACCACCCCTATGATGAGCATGTAGAAATCTGTTTGATAACCCTTATTTGACGTCTTTTTTAACTAGTAGTATGTGCTTCGCTAATGACATTCGCATTTAGAAAAACTTTTAGAAACTCGGAATGGACATCTTTGACACTTTATTTTCCGAGAGTTTGCAAGACTTATGGATATCAACAGCATTTATCATAGTGACATTAATCATCAGCGAGATTTTTAGGGTGATCATATACTACATTTTCAAAGGAAGAGAAGGTGTAACAAAAAAGTTAATCAACGAATTCATCGCGACCGGCGAGCTGTGCGCTTGCTGTTTCGAGTTATGTATTAGTAAGTAGATTTTGATTAAAGAAAAACAAATATCTTATAGCAAAACCATTAATTTTTTCTAATACAATAGTTGCTGACAATTATGGAATTCATGCTTATGCAACTTATCTCTTCCTCTTGACCGTATGGTGGTCTTATCGCTGGGGGGACGCATCTGCATGTCCTTACACTCACATTGAAGACTTACTGCAAGGACAGGCCACGTTTAAATATGTTCTGCTGGTCGTCTTTGTTCAAGTTTTTTCCGGATGGGCAATCTATCCATTTTACGTCAAAAAGTTTTGGCTAATGCAATATGAACGTAAACATGTAGAGCATGTGGAAGCATGTTCAGCAGACTTGACGGTATTTAATAACCTACCCACTTATTTTATTTTCTAATTTGGAAGGAATCAGTTGAAAATTTGATACATTTGATAAAAATTTGATAAAAAATAAAAAATTTGATAAAAAAAATTCAGGTCCCAGCTATGCATGGTGCTGTAATTGAAGGGTGAGAATGTATTTGTAAAGTCATGTATTAGTTTGGGAGATATGACATTTTTGACTCGTATAAACTCTAGGTTATCAACATGCATGTGTCAGTTAACAGGAAGAGTCATGTCCAGGCTAAATCCGAAGCACGGAATCCCTATCACTGCAGTAATCGGCACCACGCTGGTCGTGGCGGGTAAGCATGTAACGCAAACCAGGTTATCAAGGCCAATAAAATGTCTTAAATATTTTTTCTTTGTTTCTCAGCATTTGACATGTCGGGGGGATATTTTAATCCAGTTCTAGCCACGTCGTTGCAATTCAATTGTGGAGAAATTACAAGGACAGAGCATTTCGAAGTTTACTGGTTGGGCGCTATTATAGGGTCAATTTTATCCGTGTTAATATGGCATTCGACCACTCTAAGTAGAAAACTTCTTGGAGACATTACCCGTATAAAAATTGATTAAATAGTCATATTTGCTCAATATGAATGCCTGGCTGATGACAACGAAAAAAATGGCTAAACTCAAGTCAATCTCATTATGTGTTCATCTCTGGTCTGTAAAAATAGTGTTCCAATCCAAACTCTGTCTGTGTCGTTTGTTCAGATGATAATGTGATGTTGAAATTTTTATTAGCTTATAATATATAATACCCGAAATATTGATTCTTATATAATAAATCTAGCAAGAAAACCATTAATTCTAGTTTTGGAGGCAGATTGAGACGAATAGACTCTGCAGTTTATGCTCACCATGCGTTGTAGGTCTGTCTCACATTCTCACACTGCCCATATAAATACCTATATAAAACTAATTTAAGCTCGCTATCAACTACATATTGTGATTTAAGCTCGGGTTCGAACAAATGCAATTTATTTCAGCCCAGTCTTACAACAATCTAATCAACCTTCATTCATGATGAGGTTATTATTTCTAGAAAATGGTCATAATTGGCGTATCAAATCCCATCGACAGACTCATGGTCAAGTTGGGGCTAAAAGCTAACGTACAACATTCGTTTGATACACTTCTGTGCAAATTGGAGAAGCATAAAATGAACACATACGTATTCTTTTCTCGTATTCCATGTCCTATTGTCAATTGTTACTCATAATAATTGTCGACTGCACCCCTGCAAAATTTCATTTCCACCTCTCATCTTCTTATTCTAATCAAATCTATCTATTTTCTCACTGAGCCCAGCCAACAATAAAAACTTTTTGTCAAAAGGTCAAACACAAAAAGTCCGTGGAGTTGAAGAACTGTCAACCCTCAAATAATGTGACAGCAAGTATAACAAATTTATTTGTACTTTCAGCCACCTTTACTGCAATTGTTTATATGAGTGAGTAGTTGATGTAATGGCAGATTCACGTCACATAACCTTCTGACTGATTGTTAGACAGGAAGAGCATGAACAAACCAACAAGCAATATTGGAGCATCAGCAATAAATCCTCAAAATTTGATGGCAAGAATATCTTGTTCTAGCACTATTTTATTTTGACTTTTGACCTCGCTGACCATCGCATAGTTGTCCAAAGTGGATCAATTTATGCTGATTATACATAAACTATGATGCTGTTACTATGGTTGAATTACATAGATGTTCCTGAAGATGCATCATCCATTGTTTTGTTCGTGTTGAAAAAGTACCTATCTACTGTTTGGCAAGTTATTGTTTTCTGTAATTTAGACGTCGTGGTGTGGACATTATTAAAATTGTTATTATGCATATGGTGTGATATGTCAGGTTATTTTTTTCTAAAGTTATGCTTCATCTTCAGGGATGACATTTTAATTGTGGTCAGCAACAAACAGCCTTGAATCAAAGTTTACATTTTGAATCGAGTATATTTTTATTCAAAATGAATTTTCCACCAAACTTAATTTTAATTGGGAAACAAGCGTGCAAAACTATTATTGCCTTCAGAAAACCCGCTGAGATGGATAGGACATGAGGAAGTAGCCAATTATAATTATTTTTTAGGACTTGTACCATGTGAATGTATGATCAAAAGCCAATTTTAAAATTAAATTTAAAAGAAATGCAAGCTTATTTTAAATTATACATGTTTGAATTTTCAATCGAATCGAAGGGTACCCCAGAGATTGTAAATAGTTATAATTTCACCACTCGTTTGCAATATTTATCACTACTGTTACATATTTTGATTTCGAGTTGATTTAGTTCGGATGCATTTTCCTCTTTCCTTTAAATTTTAAAATCAATGCATATCTAATGTGTCTTTAATTACCGAACATTTGCATATTGAAATGGTATAAGTCGCAAAGTCGGACAAGTTAGTTAAGGAGAAAGTGTAATTAAAAATGAGACAATTTTCTTGATGAATCTTAAGTTGTAAACACATAATAGAGAACCCTAAAGAAAATTTAATTGTTTGTTGATGTTGTTTCAGACAGGAAAAAGTTTTGTGTTAAATTAAATGCAGGATGATAATGATTGTAAAATTATATTCTGGACACTCAAATAATTTTGTGTGCATTATAGTACCAAAATCTTGTGAATATGATGTGTTAATATTTTCTTATGTGTATCTGCTAATTCAGGAAATTATATTTTATTCATCCCCAGGTTGTTGTTTTGAAGTGTTATTTTAATTCCACTGTCACTCGTTTGAAATACCTTAAAAATATTGGCGACAAATAAACAATTATTCCTGCATTCGTATTTAGATTTTTGAATTTTGTTTGTGTGGTATTCTTCAAAATGGGAAGTGACATACAAAATATCAGTAATCCAGGCTATTAAGAAGTACTACAATGACTTGACCAATAATAGCTGACCCCAATCCAAATGTGACATGATTTGCTAAACAAAAATTCAAGTGGGCAAGAAATGGTTTAATATCCTTACGTTTTTCTACAGGACAATCTATGAAAAAAATCGTGATGGGATAATATTTGTTCTGGTCATCAGGAAATAGGAAAACTGCTGTGCAAATACTATATATTACTTCACGAATTAATGAAGAACGTATCTGCTCTGCACTATTTACATGTGGCTGTCATCTTAATTAACATCAACTACCTTAAGCTTGATTTTAATTACGGATATTTTATAAACGAATTTCATATTTGGCAGGATTAGGAATGTAAATATTAATAAGTAAAATTACAATAAATAAGTAAAATGCATCCCCGTGAGCAAGGCGTGAATTGCACTGAAAAGCGTGGGTGCCCAAGCAATGTGTCCAATTTCTCTTCAATGCGATTCTGCATGATGTTCAGATTATTTTAGTATTTTACACTTAATTTAATTCACCTCATTGTGTGAATTTTTTGTGTATGCAGCCTCAGCCAACTGTATGAACTTTTATTTCGTTTTTTGAAACTATGTACATGTACAAGTATATACGCATTTTAGGTGTGTTATTTAAGGAAGATGCGCTTTTTAGCTTGAAGGAATTAGGCAACGTTGAATTGCACACTCGCGAGATCATGAATGCAATAAATCTTTAATTGATTATAAATATTCAAATTTTGACTGCCAACTTGTACCCATATGCAAACCGTTTTTATTTAGTCACTTAAATATATGCACATCAGACTCATATGCTATAATCATCATCATCTGCATACATATATGGTCTTTTGTTTTGGTTATTGTCAAATTTTTCGTAAACCTCTTGCACAAGTTTTTAAGAATGTAATTCGTAAAAATAGGCGATACGTCGATATTATTCGCTGTTTGATCTTATAAAATAAATGTTGCAATACTTATCAATATCAATAGCCTTAGAATTATCAATATGCAGATACTTAATTCCTTTCCATTAATGTGTCGTATTTAAGTATGCCAAAATAGTCGAGGGTGACATTAGTGACACGAATTTGGCACAGATGAATTCAAGACTATTACTGAATTAATTTTGCAAAATTAATTACCGTTAATAGGTTTCAGTTAGTTTTATTGTTGTTTGTAATATGCCCAAAAGTTAAACATGCATATTTGCTCAATTATAAATTACTTAATGATCCCATCACGTCGGATTGTTGTGAAATAATTAAAAAGTACGTTAAAATATTAAAGGTCAACATATCTTTGGATACTCGGCTGATAAGTAAAACAAGGTAGATAACAAATCAAGTTATTGTGCATAATTTTAACATATTTAATGAGTTTAGCATTATGAGACGGCTGCTAAAATAGTGAAGTTAATTAAACCAAACTCCAAATAAATATTTAGTTATATGCATAGATCTCCGGACACTTACCGACGATAAATGAGAATGAGAGGCATGACTTGAAACGATGTCCAACCTGCATTTCTACAGTGGAATGATAACAACAACAAATAATAATAATACAATAATAAGAGCTTAATTATGTTAGCTGAACGAACGAAGCGGTACTTATCACTACAATAATGCACATTCTGGAATTCAGCTCTTTGTTAGTGTGACATTCACTAATTCTTTATGAGATCATGTTGCACAACAAACATTAAGAACACGACATGATCAACGACTAATTTAACAAATGGAGTAATTAAAGAAATTAAGGGTCACCTCACCAGCGTTGGTGAATGATTATCCAACTCCTGCGCATGAATTTAACTTGACTGCTGATCTTGATATACTTCTTCATCGAATGAGCCACTGGTTTATTAGCTCTAATTATTGCTTCATTTGATTAATACAATCTGTAGTCTTCTCAGCATCTCCAACGATTAGCTCTGTCAAGATCAACACGACACTACGTCAACACAAGTTTCGTTACGTGCCGTAATTGGCAATTGGTATATAGTCTCGCTCATTCAGTAATGAATTGGTTTTTTACTCAAATTCTCATTCACATTCTTCCCATACTTTTGAGTAATTTCGCTTCTCATTCGTGAAACCAGCACCTTAATTGTTGCGATGACAAAGATTAGCATGAAATTAGATTCTCGACAAGTAAATGGAGCAAGATTACCATTACGACTACGTGTGTGTTAATATAAAAAATCAAAAATCCATGAATGAATACTAAACAACCAATGTGTTCAGATCATTATTAATGGATATCGTCAACATAAGAAGAATTCCTTTGACGGACTGCACCGTCCTTTTACAGAAGTCTTATTCCTTCTGTTGTATACTTGAATTTTGTCCACGTTTCTGTAAAATATGCACAAACAGGACACATGCAGGTTTCATTATGGTAGATGCATATATTTTTCATTACATAAATGCGACCACCATGCATACCCAAAAGTTGTACCCATAAGATGTAAGGACTGATGAACTTGGGAGTACACTCCTAAATTTTCTACAGATTATACACATAATGTTGCAGTGATCGAAGGAGTATTTGGCTTGATGAATAGGGTCAACCTAAATTGATTTGAAGAGGCTCATAAAATTCATTTTGATGATTTTTATATTGCTTTCCGTCGTGTTCATCCTTCACCACAAGAGAGATGAGATGAAGATAAAGGAACAAGTGCAGTATTTGTACGAAGCCTGCTGTAAGCGATATCAAATTTATTTCAGCCACATGTTTTTACACGTTATCATGCATCCTTCTTATATTATAAAAAATAACCCCCAAACTATTCTTAATTAACTTGTTGTCTTCATAAATTGTGTGACAGTTCGGTATCCTGTATAAAATGGTGTAATGAATTGGCTGGATGGATATACATACCGTTGTTTCCAACACAACAATAAGCAATAATTTATTCGTGTACATATTTATCTTGGTGTAGTTTACCCTTTTTGTAAAAATAAAGTTCAATCAATAAATTCTAAATATTTTTATCATCCAATTATTATTGTGCTCGTTTCCCAAAATGAATGATCAAAAATTTATTAAACTCCACAGCACTAAATTACATACGTGAATTGACAGTTTGTTTTTTCTAACGAAACTGCATAAATATCTACATTAAGACTATCATAATATGATATTTATTGTTAAATACTTGTTGGCATTTGGTGTTATAATTCAGATATTGAATATTGAATATATAGCTACATGTACCCAAATATCAAGGATTTACCCAGTATGAGCACATTAATTGTAGGGGCCGTTTTGAATTGCTAAAATGAAATTAGAACAAAAAGGAAGTTATGTTTGCATGGTTCTTGTTCTTAAGCTCATTAAATGCTTCAAGAAAATATTCAAATAGGTAATTCTTGACCAATTGTATGCACGTACCGAGTGATGTTGTAGTGTTGTATAATAATGTTTGTTATTATGCATGTTGGTGATTTGTGCAGATGATGAATTATTTGGATAAGATACTTAAACTGTGAACGTAGGGATTATTTTGAGCGATTATCTCCGTGGTTAATCACTAGCTTGGGGCTGAATTTCATGTAAATATCAAAATATCAAATACTAAATGATCGCAATCGAGGATCAGGTCAAGGTCATCTCTTTAACAACAATTTGAATCTAAAAAAGCAAGATTTTTTCCATCAAGTTAAATAATATAAGTTTTTTTTTCTAAGAGTGATATGTTTTAAATTATTGTTGAACTAAGCAAATTTAATATTTACATATATTATGTTTTCAGCATTTATTTATTGTTGACACATGCAAGGTGTCGTTAATTTTTAATTATTTTTTGTTTCCGACAATTGAAATTTACACATCCAGCATCGAAAAAGAGTGACAAGTTGTTTTTATAGAATTTGGGGTTGGGCATTTGTTTGGGTTCCTGCTTATTTGTCAAGTTGCTTTGTTTTAGCTCATCTTTGTCTATGATCACGAGGATGATACATATGTTGTGTAACCGTGAGTACCTTTACTGCTTATGACCATTGTTAATAAGTTTTGCAAGAAATAAGTGAAGTCAGCAACCATAAACAATGCAAACATCAATATGTCAAAGTTACAGTTTTTGGGACAAACCTTTTATTGTAAAAAGTGAAAAATCTTAATAATTGGTAAATGTGATGAATCATTATTGATTTCTTAACACTTGATTATTTTTAATGATTTGTCACTACTTGTCAAGTTGTCAATTAGGAAATACAAGTTTTTATTTAACTGGTTATTATTATCAAATTACTAATTGAAATTGTGTTCTGAGTGGGTCGTCAAATCTCCATTTCTATGCAAAAAGTGGACACATTGCCAATTATTGAAAGTTAAATATATATAAATATGTACATACAATTCTAAAGCAAAAGCTCACAATACCAACCTGTCAAATGGTATTAATATGGCTAAGTAATTGTAAATTCGACTGAGACAACGCCAAAATACTCAAAATGGTTAAAAATGACATTATTAGAGAATACTAATTGATTGTCAATACATGATACACAAAAAAGCTTGCAATAATTAAACCTCTTGTGAGAATAATTTTGTTGCCATAATTAGCAAATGTCCATCTCAAACAAATAAGGGTTGCTCATTACTATTGTATTTTTATACTATGTATTACATATAAACTAAGGGAGGGTTCATAAATTATGTCACGCGAGAGGGGGGAGGGTGAGGGGGTCCAAGGCTCCAATGATATCGTGCCTATGTGCCACATTTTAAAGGGGGAGGTCTAGAAAATCGCGATTTTTGCGTGACATAATTTATGGATCTCCCCTAAATATAATATTCCTAGCGTTTCCCAATGTTTAAAATTATTAAATCAGAAATTAAATGATTGTTCTCTGACAAGTTGTCAATTTTAGACCTGAAAAGCAGATATGTTTCAAAACATGGTTCCTCCAATATTCAATTAAAAATTAATTGAATACAAAATAAGATGTCATCAGTCATCATCCTTCATCGGAGGGCGTATTTCTATGTGATTGCACAGGAGCGAGTCTGATAAAATTACATTTCATTAAACTTCATTGATAAATTAGTTAAGCTCTAATTCTTCCTGTACAACACAACGTCAATACTATCAATAAGGACATCAGATTACAAATCAAAAAAGGATTTCGATTAGCCGTCTCTTGATTGATCTTTCATCTTGTTCGTTCTGAACCAGTCGTTCGCATGTAATCCACTCATCATCAGCAGCACCAATGTTGCCATCTCCTTAGCGATGGGCACTTTAGCAAGAGCAATGAGGGGATGAGCTATTTCGAATTAATTGTGATTATGCGATTGTTGTTCAAAATAGGAAGATGATCATATATTTACTAATCTCGTATGATATGTTGTTGCATAAACAGTTGAGTTGGAACCACTTCGCTGCTTTCACAGATACTTTATTCATTATATTTAAATCTCGCAAGCGACAATGTGTCATATTCATGCATATGCATTTGTGAGATGGATGACATGTAATTTATAAATTTTAATTTGAATAGAATAGAATTTGAATCATTGCTAATAAACGCTAAATAGTAAATGTTGTGTCGCACAACATTGTTGTTGCACAATAACAACGCAAGTGTTCTCAAGTTTGTTTCTTAGATGGTCGATTCCTAAACATATTTATTCCGATCCTTGCCCACTTGTGGTTGCCTAATTCTGTAAATGACTAAAATGTAAACAGGTAGTTCAGTCAGTTCCGTTGTTACATCGCTGTTGGATTATTTATTTCATTATGTTACAAATGTCATTAGATTTGATGGTTGTAATCATTCCTGAAAACGAATGGTTTTCTGAGAATTAATAGTTTTTGTTTTTTGTCAAATGTGTGTATGTAAGTGCTTTGATTTTACAATCTTGCTGCAATATGTAATGCCACTGGTGTGGCTGGTGGTGTGTACTGTGTGTCACTTGTTTGCCTTTTATTGCATTAGTTATGGAAGGATCAAGTGTTTGAGGAAATATGTAATCCCATTTGCATTAACACAATTTACCATTCAAAAAACTTTTAATAAGTATAATCTCGCATAATTATGTAAAAACTCGTACCCGTTTAAAGCATATTATATCCTGGTTTAAAGGATTTTTCTTAGGTGAAGGAAAAGTAACCATAAAGTGATCATGTTAAAAGATCACCATGGTTACGGCGAAGCCTAAGTATGCATTCAGCTGCAACTTTGAAAAACTCCCACTGAGATTTCGCCCGAACCGTTCATTGCATCGAAAACATGTTGAAACAAAAAAACTAGAGAATTCTGTTTTACAGAGACATTTTTCTTATTTTTCCAAAATTCCAATTCCTTCAGGTAGAAAGTCCGATGTCTAAATTTTCAAATCTATTTCTTGGCACCAAGGAAATGTTTCCGGCCGGGGGCTTGCCATTTTTATTATTCTCCAGGATAATACGCAAATTTTAAGCCTTTGTTCAACTTAATCGGATGAAAACTCACGGAATTAGAGCTTTTTGAAATATTTGCATTAAGCAACCTATTTACGTATTTACGTGTTAGGTTACTGGTTGCTAACGTGCGCTAATAGTTCATTTAGCATCGCTATTCAATACTCAACATATCCAATGTTGCTAGACAATCGAATTACGTTATTATTAGATCGCTAAGCGTCAAGGCATGTTGCAACAGAACAATCCTTAAAATTTAGAAACTGGGGAATTAAATTGGTATGCCACGCATCCACACTCACTGGGGGATTAAATTTGTATGACACGCATCCACACCCACTGGGGGGATTAAATTGGGATACCGCGCATCCACTCACAGGAGAATTAACAACGTTTAAGATTTTATAATTACATATGATTTTATGGATATAAGTTCACAAATCACTAAAAATAATGAAATAAATAAACTTTAAAAAACAAACTTAGGTGAAGGACGCGCTTAAAATATTAAAACAAGAAGCATTAAAAAATGTCATAAATCGTTTAATATTTATTAACTTTTACTGCACCGGGGCCCAACTAACACAGGAAAAAAGTTATGCTTTCAATCATTAGGAACAATGAATCGAAATACGTAACAAGTATGTTTTTGTATATGAAACTTGCAAGATTTGAATCGTTATCTTTCAATAAATCGCGACACCTCTTATAGAGGAAATTTGCTCATGTTCTGGCGTATTTTAATAACTCCCCTGTAATGCTGCACTTAATATTTAATCAAGTCGTTGGTTTAGTTACATTTATTGTTATTGAAAAACTTTTTCAATAACTTTAATTTCTGAAAAACTTATTATTCATTGCTTTGAAAATTTAATAGTTGGGCCCCCGGTGAAGTAAAAGTTAATAAATATTAAACGATTTATGACATTTTGTAATGCTTCTTGTTTTAATATTTTAAGCGCGTCCTTCACCTAAGTTTGTTTTTTAAAGTTTATTTATTCGTATATTTGATTAGCCCTAAGTATACTCTTATGTAAATCTAACTCATTTATATCCACATGTTGGATAGGCATGTAACAAAATACTCCGTATAATTATATTGAATAAAATATTTGTGAGAATCCGAGTTGTCCAAATTATACTCTTATTTCTGTATTCACTAACTTAATTGGATGATATGATTTTCTAAATTTGCATAAATACATGATATCCGTAAATATAAATGGATAGTTGATAAATTTATAACTTGCAGCCCTTATAAACACAATAACAAATATTTATGAGTGCCGTTTTCTTAGTAAAGTGAGTAAAGTGCAGTATATGAACTGCAAGAGGTAATATTCATGCAAAAGAAATTCACAAAATTGCAATCGTAATTTGGAATGGCTACGTGTACTCTATACACACGGACACCACACACTGACGTTGTAGCCAACTAATTGTAATATCCTCAATCTAGACACCCAAAAACCTCATAATCTGCACTGTCTGCAGTGTGTGCAGTGCATACAGGGCTGAAAATGAAGGGATGCGCTATCCACTTTTGATACGATGATGATGAATCCTCTTCTTCTCGGCACGCAAGAACATCGTCGTAAGGTGGGCAAAGGTAGCTTCCCTTTCATATTTACGCTGCATTATCAGATTTCCTCAGAGGGAGGTCATCAATTTGCGAGAGAAGATTCCTCTTGAGACTGAAGAGGACTCGTAACAACATCATTGTCGATTTGATTTTGGTCGTGGATCGAGTGGTCCTCCAGAATCCAATTCACTCCCTTTTCGTGACCATAATTTTCGCAATTTTACTATTTGGCCAAGTTTCATTACTGACTCTTGAGATCACAAGAAATTGCCGAGTGGTGATTGGACTCATCCTTGCTTGTTATTTTGAGAGAGCAAGTGATACTTTTTGTTACATAATCTGAAGACGAAAAGGAAACTTTTTCTTTCTTCGGCAATTCGTCGTTTGTCGTGTGGCAAAAGTTGTCGAATTCGCGTCGTTGGAAATTTTGTGAGTTGGGATTTTTGTGACATTTTATTCGTTTGGAACTTGTTCATTGGTTTACAACCAACACGTTCGAAAGATTGCTGGAGATCAGCACGACCATCAGACATAAATCAGGTAAATAATTTTTTTACCGGTCTCAAAGTAGTCGAGTTAAATATCGTTAAATCAATATAAAGTTGCACATTTTATACTTAATAACTACACATTACATAAAAATAATATCCAAATGAATCTGCTCATATTTGACATCGAGGTTATAAATGCACCTTTGCTTAACACAAGGAAAGTTTGAACCCGCAAATACATATATTGAAATTGCATTGTCTAGAATCAATAATAGAAGTAATAACCAGTTGGAAAATCCATTTACACCGCACCAAAACAAGAACCCCGATGGGTTTATGTCATTCATAACTTATCACTTGCCTCGCATTCGCATAATTTGATCACGGATTGTTAATAGTTTGTATTTGTTTATGTAGTATTGAATACGATGAAAGTACACTGAACGGCGTAGGTAAGCATGTGGGCACTGTGCAGCACAATCAGGTCATCCCTTTCCATTTTCTCATCCGCACGATCATTGTTATGTGAGCATCTTCAATCAGAAAATTAGTAAGCATATAACCAGCCAATACTGTCCCAGAGAAATGGATATCATTGATAGTCCCACTGGGCATGAACAATGATAATGATGTAAAAACAAATCCCCATCAAATACTACGACGCGATTCAGCAACGTTAGAAAAATATTTATATACATTAATTCAACGGGATAGTGGTATAGCTGAACCTCAGTGTTATTCGTGACAAAATAAATAATGTATTTTAGTAGTAATTCAGTTTTGTGCAATTTGTATAAAAAAATGATTTATGCTTTTTAAAGCGTGTTTTATCGAAATCATTTAAATTTGCGTTTTTCTAATCAAATCTTTACCTCGCAACAAGTTATAACTAATCCTAAGCTTACATATGAAAATTAATCCAATTTTGCAATTGTCTCAAAAAGTGAGTTGCACTCAAAAAACAAAATAGATGACACCGTGACAAAAATTAAATTGTCAAGGGTGCCTGTTTCATAATTTGTTATATTGAGACTACAAGATTGTTGATGTTACCCAACTCTCAAATTAATTTCGGTTGTCCATCAACCAAAAAGTGCTGAGCAAATCCGACAAAGTTTTTTTGCCACACCACAAACCATTCAATTTATTCACTTGGCTGTTAATAATCTCAGCATTTCATTCATTCTTTCTTTCATCTCCTATAAAAGTATAAAGTGGTCAACAGTGCAGATTGCATGTTATTCTAAATAAGTTGCAAATATTGCTTCACAAACACAAACACAACAGCACCCCATTGAATTATTGCGTCCAAGCTTTGGCATAACATAATAGTGTCAAATTCAATGCTTTGAAATTCTGAATCCCCAATTTGTGAATAGTTATGTTGTACGCATCCCAGGTAAATTGTAGCGGTATCACTGAACCACTGCAGCCAGCTTGTCCAAAGTCACGCGAACCAGTGCAGTCATCATCATCTCATCATTCAGCCCCATTCAGCATTATTTAGCATGAGTTGCATAAGAGTCTTAAATATTATTAAAAGTTTTAAAGCTTGCCCAATCACATAATCCTTATTTCCTAGTGCTAAATCTCATAGTAGTCTCATCAATAAACTCCGATTCATCCTGATTGATAATGGCGTTGGATGACGAGACATACCGCTGCATACCGCTGTTTTCACGGAAAATTTGTGCCAACCACTTGCACTTTATGTATGTATGCCATGTGCGAATAATAATTGTGGCTTTACTCGTTCAGACGGGACAAGTGTGGTCGTTTATATAACAAACTGCATCGTCACAAAATTATTCTGAGTAAAATGAGGTGCTCATCGTGTATTTACATTAATATTTTTTACCATTTTATTCGGCAAACCTCCACAGATAGAAAGTAGGCTATTGTGCATGCGTTATTTGACACGTAATGTGTAAGAGTAAATGTTATCAAATTATCTCATCACATTTATTAAATCAACTGAAAGTTTCCTCTGTCCGTTGCTTTTAAAAAATGATGGGTGGCTCTTCGATGGGTGTTAAAAAGAACAGACCGTAGAGGGTTCATCCCCTTCGCATTCTGACCAAGTGAATAAATTTATTAAAAGACTTATTATTGTGACAATGCGCACTTATGGATGAGGATGAGGATTATCTATATCGGCGAATGAAACACGTATATCATTGTCAGTATTTAATGACTGAAATGCTTAAACAGATTTGACATGGGTTCATAACTTTAATAGTGTGTCAATATATTTATTTTCCCTCATTGTGAAGCACTAGATTTACATATTTGCCGTCGGATCGCACCAGGCGAAATACTTGTGTAGTATAATAAATATTCCTTAGGGACGTTCCATTATTTCTATTTAGAGACACGATGAAATCTGCAAAATCGCAATTGCATTTATGCTCTATCATACATACATACGAAGATAAGTACTTGCATACGTTGCATACAAGTCGGAAGTTTACTTACACTAATTCAATTCAGGAATTGAACGCGACTCGAGACATGAAAGTTGCATTGTCAATTGTTAATGCAAATCAAGTCAATTCATAAATGTAACATAATATTAATATCAGGAATGAATTGTCCTTTGTATTTCTACCCAGCGTACTTTGACGAGTGCAGTAATAATGAGGTCCTACATACATATAATCTGAATATGAAATTCGCAAATTATGAGCAAGTGCAGTATCTACTTAAATTTCTCCAGGGGATTACACCTTTTGAAAAACTATTGAGACGACGACAACTGACAACTCAAATAAAAGGCTTTATATTGAGAGCCAAAGCGATAATTTCAGTAATTAAATGCATTGTTCAATTCTGCCTGCTTACAACAAAAATTAATGTGCATAGCTGACAATTGACTTTAGTATTTTATAGTTGTGATTTCTACCTGCGGGTGGAGATGCATCATGCCAATTATCAATTGTTTGTACTTTGACTAGAAAAAATAGTGACCTCTTAACAACACAACAACAACAACAACACAAGATGGGAAGTTTGTCTATGGTTCTGAATTTTTATGAGTATTTGTTAACCAACCGAGAAGCTATGTATGTATGTACGTATTTATTTGCTTATGAAATGAGAAAGCGATACAGTGAATTGGCTTATCTTTTAAATTATCCCGTGTGGTGTTCCATCACGTCAAAGAATTTTTTGTGTAGCAGCAACTACACAGTGGTGAAGCGATGTTGCAATGATTTGTGACTTTATTCTTGGATTGAAACAATGAAGGAAACCCCACCGACACGCTCCCAGTGGATCGTTCCCTTTGATTTAGCTCACATTCATAATTATTGTTCTCCTCTGCGGCTTCCGACTTGGAGGAAAATTGAGATTTTATTGGATTTTAAACATCTTTTTTTCACTCTTTTCTGAAGATCTTTGGCAATTTTTCACGCTGTGAGACGAGTTTTAAGCAAACAACCGCAGTAAAACATACATAATAAGTATATGTATGTACATACATCTGATTGACACTGGGTCTCATTGTTTATAGTTTCACTCACTCATTTCACCATTTTCTTGCACTTTTTCTAACAGTTTCAAAGATGAAAGGCTGTAAAGGGGATTAAGTCCCAGACGTAGTTGCTCATTTTCTGAAGATTTTGAGGAAACGAGGAATGATTGCGATTGTAGAAAGGAAGTGAGTTGCAACGAAATTAAAAGTGAAAAGTGTAATTAATAACAGCAAATAACGATGCATCTGCTCGGCTTGGATGGCAGTTGATAGCTCCTGAAAGAAAGTGGATTCAGTCGTAGCACAAAACACCTACGTGCGTACGTACAACATAGTCTAAGATTGCAAATTGTAATAATGCTGAGTGCCAAATTCTTGTTGTAATGATTTGGCCAGTGGCTGTTGCATTTGTCATTATTCAACATTTATTGCAATGATAATCACACCAAACAACGATCACGTGTCAAATGAAAATGCATGTGTACATACATCTGTTTAGTATTTGATTTCGCTACTGTGCGTACTTTACGGATAGAAGAAAAAAAACGAATTTCGAATGAGTATGATTTATTAGACAGGCAAGACCCACGGGAGCCAAAAAATGCTCCAAGACGAATGGTGTACAATTGGCATTCGAATTCACACCAATTTTTACAACACCACGCCAGTGTTTCAAATCGAAGGACGCTTTTGTAATGGACATTCCCATTCGTTGTATCGTTTTTTATAGGGTACAGTAATTAATATGTGAGTGACACGAATATGAAACATTAATCACTTGATTGATTAGCGTTTATCTTTATGTTGTGTTTTAACTGATGAATACAAACCCTATTTATTTCAGTTAATTAATGCATCTCTGTGAATAATAAATGAATTGCATGTTGTGAACCGTATGACCAACTTTAGAATTTAGTTGATAATTGGGTATGCACAAATATTATGCATCAACGGTACGGATGATGAAATATAAAATATCGATTATTTGAACAATATCGGAAGCCACTACAATGTAATACAATACAAATTTGTAACCAAAAACTATATCCAATTAATAAGACTTGATCACTTTCAGTTATTAAGTAATTGCATAATTTATGCTTGTGTATCAGACTCGATCTCTTTATGCATACTACATATATCTCGTTTGTAACTTAATTGTTGGTATTTTAGCAATGGCTAAATATGTATTCTAGCAATCATGAATATTATTTATCACTATAGTTGATTCTTAATTTAATCTCTTGCTAGTTAAAATTATGTCGAAAAAAAATATTAGACTTTTAGCTTTTTAATATTTCGCTAAATATTCTTATCAATAGTTCCAAGAATATTTATGTATTTATATACTATTTAGGATTACAAGTTTCGGGATTTCTATGTACCAAAGCTATCAGGCTACAAACACGCATATTAAATTGAATAATTAGGAAGGCGGCTAAAGGTCTACTGTTCTAACTTTATTGATCGGAACTTCTGATTTAACGTTAGATCACTTTTATTGCATAAGTTCAGGCAGGCTGTACAATTACGGCATTATACGTGCCTTATTTATTATAGCTGTGATACCTTTATAC